ATAAAGCCGTGATTTTATCATCTACGGGTTCAGTCCTCTCGCTAATAGACATCTTACATATTTCATGTTATTCACGTGCATAGGCGCGCATAATTCATCTTAAGTCCCCTGAGACCTTCATTATTGGTAAAACCACAAATAAAATTAGTTCAAGCCAGAAGGCGAGTAAGGCCGAGCAACTAAACCAACAGATGGACTATACTGACGTTTATCTCGTACCCATTTCAGCGTAATACAGAGTGAAATTCGATTGCCGTGACAAAGCCTGTATATATAGCAAGAGAATCAGCGATCGAGTTATTTAGCGAACTCGCGCGGAAACGCTTCCTATGTAGGCTAACCTTGACACGCCGCCCTTCAGATTTGGAGGTGGATCTCACCATATCCCTAAGGTCGTTGTTCTTGTTCTTCCTAAGAGTTTTTTTTAAGTATTTTTTTCCGATTCCATTAAACACACCTAGAATGTCGAATGCCATATTCGTGGGTATTCGATCCTCTTTAGAAAAAGCATTTGCTGGAGCCTGTTCGCTAAAAGAACAAAAACTTTACAAGTACTATAATCGAGCAGGAGAAACACAAAATCGATAATGACCACCGGATTCAACTATGAAAACATTGATTTATGTCATCAGTATATGGAATTTCTGTCGCTGAGGCATAGACGTCCCTCCTGGCGAAACGTCCCTAGCGGCCAGGAACTAGGAGAGTCGGCTAGCTCCCCAATTAACACAACTCTTCGCGAAAGAATTAAAATTTCTAAATCATGTGTATTATATTGAGAGTTTAACTCAGACTGACTTTTTTCCTTAGACTGCCATGCAGCGTTAGGAATTGCAGACGGTACCATACCTGATGACAAAATGTTTGCGTCTTCAACCTTGTCCGAGAATGACGAAGCACACCTGGGCAGACTAAATTTCGGAGGAGCTTGGTCAGCGGCTGTAAATGATCTTAATCAGTACCTTGGCATTGATTTGGGCGAGGACTTCACCGTAACGGGTATAGCAACACAAGGGAGCATCGACAAGGCCACATGGGTAACCAAGTACACCCTACATTACAAAACGGCCTCAGATGATCATCCCAGCAACTACACAGAGATCATGCAAGGACAAGAACGGATGAAGGTAAACTCACTGAATGGTTATTTGACCCCTGCAGGGGGAAGACTCGGCGCACATGCATGGGGTGCGGATGCTCGTCGTCTCGCTTAGGGATGTAAATTTCGGATTTTGGTCTCACTTAGGGTGTTCTGGGCAAAACGCCATCATATTTAGCCGTGAAGGTCTCGTTTAGGGTTGCACGCGAAAAAATATAAAAATATATATATTGTCTGTGTTTTAACACAGTCTCTTTTAGGGGTCAAAAAAAGCTTGGGCCACACCCAGATCGGTCTCCTTTAGGGGTTTAATTCAAAATTTCCGACGATCATCGCCACCCCTTTCATATGCGGAGTCCCCCCCCCGGATTTGAGCATCATCGTGATCATTTATCTGGAAACAAAAATGGTATTTCATTACTGTCAATTTTTATACGACACAACCTGCAAGGTGTGACGATACAACTTGGGTCAATGACATCAATAATGCACAGCACTGTATAGGCCGTTGAACTGCTGTCACTCGTTCACACGCCTCAGAAGTACGCTCATTGCATATTATCAAACCTCATTTACATAGTTTAATGGAACCCAAGTTCCACTCATTTTGACGGTCTTCAGAAGAGAAGTGACGTGTAAAGAGATCCTACTAAAGACCCTTAAATAAGTAATTAACTCTCTAATTAAGCCCGAAGTACTTTTGAGGGCTAAGCAAGGGTTTTACACCTTTGAAAAAGTTAAGGAGCACGCTAAAACAAAGATAATAATATTCTTATTCAATCACTGTGCAATATATTAATGTCCCTTCGAATGGTATGATCTCTGTGACTCCAGCGGACTTCACACGGCCGAAGAGGAATAGAATACAATGATGAATAGAATACATTGGTGCAGTCATTAATATTAGATGTTATAGTCAGTATAACAATATAAAAGTTAACAACAGAAACCAAGAAACGTATAACAACATAAAATATTAAGAAAATATAGTTATTTCTTATCGATTCAGGATTGGAATAGGCTCTAAGGGACTTGTCAGAAATTAGCAGGGGGGAGGGGGCGTGAAAACAGAGGGAGCGTCACAACTTTTTGAGACTCAGAAAAGGGGGAGGGTCATGCAAATATATGCCCGTGATCATATAGAGGTTCACTCACAGAAGAAAAAGGAAGTTCTTTATTTGGTAAAAAAACAAAACAAAAAACAAGAACAACGGAAAATTATGGATATAAACTGTGAAGTACTATTGCAAGAATTTAACAAATATCTAGTACTTTTCTTTTATAATAATGCTATGGACCAGTTAATGACTGTATGAAGGCTTTTGTTGCCAATCGTAAAGAACAGTAGTTCTTTTTCAATACCGAATATATTCAGTAATACAAAGCTGCAAAGTGGGAGATGAGAAAAGTAAAAGTCCCAGGACACAACTGTTTCAAAAAATTAGATGATTTCATAGAATCGTGTATGATCACTGGAGAGATGTTTCACGAGTATTGTGAAAATGAGTCAGTGTATCCCACCCTTCGTCCAGTTCCAGACATCAACAAATTTCCAAAGTATCACTATCTGCCTGATACAGAAACACCCACCACAAATACAGACGACGGTAAAAGAAGAGAAGTGGATGATTATCACCCTAGAGCACGTTTAAAGCAAATCCACAAAAAGAATGAAATCAATATCGAGGATCATTTGCAAGTGTTCAGACCTTTTGCAAAAGATATATTGTTAAAGAAAGTCTTGTGAAAAAATACCTAAAACATTTAAATAATTTAGAGAGGATGAGTGAGAAGAGAAAAATGGAACAGAAAAACAAGAATTTGAAAGAGAACACAATAGGGGCCATTTTTACGAGGGACAATAAGACGAGCCTTACAAAAGACGCATCTTAAATACGACACGAACTTTCCGTATAAACGGCACATTTAAAAATAAAATAAGACGCGTCTTATCTAAGAACAGGTGTCAAGGGCTGTTTTTAAATAGGACGCGTCTTAGCTAAATTTCCGTAGCAATCTGCTGTTTATACGGATAGTTTGCGTCTTATTTAGGACGCGTCTTATGTAAGACGCGTCTTATTTCGCTCGTATAAATGGCCGTAATTAATGTCTTATGAGGAATTTGACTGGATGGAAATGCTGAATAGTGGAACACTAGCGAAACAGCGTGTATGCATTCTGGACAAATACATCCATAAACATGATAATTTGCTTGCAGTGAAAGGTTTAAACAGGCCACAGAAAGTCAATGCTATTATGGATCACTTACGGTCATTTGCCGAGAGCACACACAAACAAACAAACAAAGCTCCCTCAGTGTGGAAGAGGTGGATGATCATGATGAATGTGAAGTAGATGAAGGGGATGAGGCATTACCCACTTGTCCTAATGATGAAGACTTTGTATTGGGAGAAAAAGTAAAGTCGAGTGATCATCAGCTTTCAGAATCAGAGTCGGACTCTTAATGATGTCATCTAAAATGTGTCTATACAGCGTTACAAAGAACAGATTAGAAATATATTTTGAGTTTTCATAACGCTTGACTCACCCTAGTGTATTGCAAGCGCTAGATTTTATCATTTCTAGAAGAAGGGGGGGGGGGTCATGATATTTTAGGCTAAGCTCAAGGGGATGGGTCACCTCACTTCCGAACCCAAATTTAAAATTCCCACCCCCTCCCCCCCTGCTAATTTCTGACAAGTCCCTTATGTGCGTGGGGTCAATAATTACATATTACTATGAGTTTGGGGTCGATAAGCTTCATTTATTGATACGAGCTTGTTTCAATATAAAGGAGTACACACACATCGTAATTCATGGCCACTTTCCTGATTAATCGTTAAATTATGTAAACAAATTAATTTATTTAAGACTTACCTGTTTCTCTCATAAAAGCAGTAGTTCTCCTGTACTTTCTTCATACGTTTAGCGTGGTCCTTAACTTTTTAAAAGGTGTAAAAACCCTTGCTTAGTGTACTATGTAGTACTTCGAGGCTCAATTAGAATTACTTATTTTAGTGGTCTTTAGTAGGATCTCTTCGTTTACACGTCAACTTCTCTTCTGAAGACCGTACAAAATGCGCGGAACTTGGGTTCCAATTAAACCATGTAAATGAGGTTTGATAATCTGCATATTAACATGTATCAATGAGCGTCCTTCTGAGGCGTGTGAACGAGTGGCAACCTCGACCTTTTTCCTTCTTTCCTTCCAATGTTGGCTGCAAAATTGGACAAACTGATCATGAGCTGAAGCAAAAAACATTGCTCAACAACACTGGGAGGAAAGATTGATTGTGGCTCAGGACAGTGTATTAGGGTCTGTCAAGTCTTCCAAAAACTATGTTTGAGAAAGATATTATGCTCCATAAAGGTCACGAGCGTGGGACAAGAAAAATCAGGATTCGAACCCATGGCCTCCCAGAAGGACTACATTGGAGATCCAAGCTCAGAGTTTAGGCAAGACTCATGTTGAAATCACGGCTATACTATATTCTGATAGATTCGCTTCTTACATACTGTTCCAAGTATAAATTTACAAGATAGGCGAGCTTCATCCTTTCTGGCCAAAAACGATAGTAAATGTTGAACTCGGAGATTCCTGACGGCAAAATGTTGTATATTCGAGATGTCACTATCGAAGCAGCGAAAACTACACGTACACCAGAAAAACTATGCCAGAAAATGTCAAAAATATATGAACTCCTCCCACCCCACTAAACTTCTAGCCCCGGTTGTTCAAAAGCCACAGGATAAATCTGTACACGCTGCCTTTACATTTTCTGTTGGCCTTGGAAAGCGATTATCAACTGGACAGCGATTTATCAAGTGCTTTGCGTCATCATGAACAACCGATAAACCAACACGACCTGACAAATTAACTGTCAAACTATTTTCATTGTAGAAATTTTCTGGAAACACTGACCAGAACACTCCAGTTTTTCACCACTTAAACCCACCAATAAAGACACAATACGTAGGTTTTCGACCACTTGAGTGGAATGGACACATATCAATGAGGGTGGAGATTTATGGTTGTCAAGGTAACTTCTAATACAAACTATTTATATTCTGAGAGAAAAATAAACAGAGAGAATATAATAACAAACGAGTGTTGATCTGATTAGCGTACTCTTTTCCCATCTTCAGTTATGTAGCCTGAGAAAACAGCCGTCATTTCGTGACACCACAACTGCGAAACGAAGCGAAACGAGCGCCGACAGTCACAAAGCGTTACTACTCAGATATGGTAGACAGAAAGTGCTTCTGATTGGTTGAAGCAAATAAATTTTCAGCCAATCAGAGGCTCTATTTAGATCTGGGTTGTGACGCGTCATCTGTATGGGATTTCTGTTCTCGTTTTTCAGACGTCATTTCGCGGGAAAACTATTAGCGGCGTCGTAAATGTCGGCTGTAATCTCAGGCTACCGGTTATGGTGTATTGGCCGAAAGAGGCAAAGCTAAAAATAAAGCTGAAGAAATTCTTGTATAATATGAAAAATTAAATTAAAAGCTCTAATGGTGCTTTCTTTTCAGATCCATATGCATATCCAGTTCCTCCGATGTTCGTCTCCATTCCAACTTCCATTGCCGTGGAAGAGAACCAGAACGTGACTTTCACGTGTTTAGCTCGTGGTCTTCCGTTACCAACTATCACGTGGTCTAAAGTGGGGGAAAGTCTGCCAGTTGAAGCGGTTATTACAGAGCAAGGGAGCCTTCTTCTACTGGAGGTTTGGCCTGAAGATTCTGGAAACTACTCCTGCACAGCTTCCAATTTAGCTGGAGAAATTACGTCGCCTGCGGTGGAATTAGTGGTACATTTAACACTCATGTTTACAATACTTCCTCCTCTGGGTCCAATCTCCATCTATGCTGGCGACTCGCTGACTCTGCCATGTACGGCAGATAGTGACCTGGTACCAACAATGGGATGGCACATGCAGTACAGTCAAGGGGTTGAGATTTTTCCGAACAATACGCTCTTCATTGCATTCGCTGAGGTGTCTCATGAGGGTTTATACGTTTGCACAGCAAACAACAGTTTTCGTGCACTGGAAAAGAATGTTATTCTATACGTTTATGCCCTTCCCTCCTGTCGCGACATCAAGAATCGACAGCTTCTTGCATCTAAACGTTTCCCGATGGATACGAGTGGATATTACGTCATAGATCCAGATGGCGGAGGTACAGGAGAAGAGCGCTTTAAGGTATTTTGCAACATGACCATGTATAACGACAACAGCGTAACGGTCATAAGTCATGACAGTGAAAATTCGACGCTAGTGGATGGTTATGAAGCAAGAGGTTCTTACAGTCGAATCGTGACTTACACTGGGGTAAACCCTACACAAATTGCAAACCTTGTTAGGATTTCAAAGAACTGCTTTCAGTTTATCAAGTTCGAGTGCTACAAAGTGGAATTGTTTGGTAGAGACATGGCCTGGTGGGTGTCACGAGATGGAGAGAAAATGAATTACTGGGGAGGTGCTAGGCCCGCCAGTGGAAAGTGCGCATGTGGAATGGATGGCTCCTGTGTGGATCAGTATAATTGTAACTGCGACTCAGAAAGACCTGAATGGCTCGAAGACAGCGGCTTTCTGTCCGATAAAAGCACCCTACCTGTCAGCGAAATGAGGTTTGGTGATACAGGAGGATCAAAAGAGAAGGGCTATCATACTTTGGGAAAGTTTATGTGCGTCGGTGATTCAATCCTGACAGCAAGTGCAGGAGAAAACGACCCGACTGATTAAATTGCTAACATCACTAATATACTTCGGTTACCCCTGCATTTTAATCGCAAACACTTCAACTAGGCATATAGTATTATATTTCAGAAAACTGTGAGATGCCGATTTAATTTCTTGCCATTTTGCTCGCCGTGGGAGGAGAGGGAAGGGGGTGGGGGTTGGTTGGACCTGGTTTATGCCGCGATACTGAAAGGTGGTGAGTTTTAGCATATCAAAGGCCAAAACGATCCAACTAAAAGGGAGCCAGGTCTTTTTGAAAAAGTAGTTGCTCTTAAATTGAGCCCTGTTATTGTGGTAGCCAGTTCCAGCTGTTCACATAGTAGGGAGCGGCTCGAAATGGAAAGCGGAGGAAAAAAAAAACGAAAGAAAAGAAAAGAAGAGGTGATGGGGCTTAGAACGTTTTCTCTATTCCTACCCCCTTCCCCCTAGCTTCACTCTGTTGTGTATTTTTCCTGTTCAATTTTCCGTTGCGCCGTCCCCACTGAGTATCTGTCACCTGGAACAGTTGGCTACTATTCTGGTCATGTTCATCGAAGAACTGACTAGCTTACTGTGGTGCATTCAGACTTGACCTGTCTGGTCAGTGACAAAGACAGCTCTTTGTTGTGCTTTCTCCAGTTTTCCATTCCACAGTTCGCTCTTTCTTAACCTAAGATCAGGCCCAATTTTGGTAGCTTCTATTCATTCTCCCAATTGTTTCGCCTTACCGGCCGCAATTTCGTTTACCAGACGGGGGGCTTTTTTGGGTTTCAAAGCATAAAAGCAATGTGACAGGCTAACAAAGCGGTTAAATTACTAAATTAAACGAGGACCAGCTACCCATTTTCTGTGTTTCTGGTATATAACTTGCACTGATGCACGGATAAGGTTTAGTTAGATGTACCATTTTCCAGTCATTTCTCTGTGTGCTAATCAAAGAAAAACTAATATTCTGACTAGGGATCCATTTCCCTAAATTACCCGTTAACTTAGTCTTTGAGCAGGAAAGCTAATCTTATGTTTATGTTAACCATGTTTACATTACAGACTCATTTAACAACCTGAAAACAGATATGATAAAACTCTAGTCTAACGAAACATAATGGGGGCCCGACCTGTTGGCGTTGCAGCTAGAACCCGAACTGCCGTTCCTTACATTTTGATTCTGTTATGGTAGCTTTCAACCTTAAAAAGTTGACATGGCTTTTTTGCTGACTCCAAATCAATTGGCAAATCTAGTACCGTTCGGAGAGTAGAAGCTGAGTTTGTGTAGTCTGGCCTCAAACAACCTAATATAAGTCACCAGAAGACACTCAGAGGCTTTTAATAAAATCCCATTGTTTGTAATTTGCTAAATGTCGTTGTCTTAAAGTAAGAGTTAGATTTTTATTATTTCAATTCCATATGCTGCCGGTACATATTTTTTCCGCCTGATCCGGTATAACCAGCACTCTTTTCAAAACTTCGTTTCTGTAAGCGCACCTTATCGTCTGTTAATTGTATGTAATAATACCATCCTATGCTGTTATTAAAGACTCACAGACATCACAACTGGATGATTCTCATTTTATTGGTGTTATGTAAAAGAAAGGAAAAATCCCATAAGCATGTGTGAAGAATTTTACAATAGTTCATAATATAACTCAACCTACTTTTGAAAGGACTCCTGGGTTCAAACCTTTAACAGTTCCGAATAACTTTTTAAAATCATCACAGCTACATTTCATGATCGTACACGAGTTGATTCAGTAACCAAAAAGTAGAATAGGTACGTTGATAAATCTCGATACCGATATTGCTATACAAGTTCGGTCAAGTTTCGTTTTAATACGCAGTTTTAGAAGTTTTTCCAGTCCTTCATGATTGACCGATGATTGGTAATGATCATAAAGATCTGAGGGAATTGGCTGCAAGGTTTCAAAGGTTAGAGTCTGCAACGTTTTCGGGAGATAAAAAACGGTTTGGAGGTTAGAAATTAACAAAAAAAGATGAAACCACTTTTTGAGAGCCACTAGCTATACTTCGTTGCAAACTGCTTTCACTTGAGTATTGAGACTCACGCGTCACTAATAATTCCTATTAAAATTCTTAAAATTGACGTGAAAACCAATTAATCCAATGTCCACGGAAAACTGAAAAATAAATTTACCGATAAATGTTTGCCTTCGATTGACGTTTTCTTTGAAATCTCACTCAAGAGAGAAACGGAAACGGAAACCATCCGACATTAGATTCTCATACAAACACTGAAATTCCTCACGCGGTTGCCTACTCGTCAACCGTGACAAGGTCAAAACACCGTAATAAAAAAGGTTAATATGTTGTTGTAGCATTTTAACTTCTAGGCTATCTTTAGTCCGATTTAAATTTCAATCGTCGGGAGCCCACGAAAAATAAATGAACAAATAAATAATGACGATTATATTATATTTATTTGAAATACCGTAAAATTCCGTAAACAAGCCCCTCCAAATATAAGCCCCCCAAACTCGTAACGCAAAAAACCCTCGGTTAACTTGCCCCGTCAAATATAAGCTTCCCAGGGGCTTGTACTTGGAACTTGCCATCAAATACAAAGTAAAACAAATCAAAAACGGTGAATTTCCTTCCAAATATAAGGCCAGCCCCATCGATTTTGAAACGCAAATTTCCCTCCGTAGATAAGGCCCTTAGAATATAAGCCCCTCAAACAGGGCCTCTGAAAAATATAAACCCCGTGGGTATTTTTTCGGAATTTTACAGTATACTCCTCTTATCGATTTTTTCTGGGCTGCCTGTGTTGTCCAAACCGCGAGGAATTGAGGAGAGTATCTGATTGGCCACTTTGGTTCCAGTGGCATCTTTGGCTCCTGATTTGAAAGAAGCGGCCATGATGTCTTTCCAACGTTGAATGCATCTGTGTGTTCCATCGTTCGATTGGTTATGGCTCCATTTAAGAAAGGAAGCAAGGTCCGGGTTTTGGTTCGTTTGCGACCAGAACGTTCTGAATTCAAGGCAAATGAAAGGGACAATCGCAGTAACATGCCTGATCGATGTGTTCGAGCTGTCGATTCCTCGACACTCGAGCTGTGGAACTGTAGAAATTCTGAAGAATCGATTCGCTACAGGTGGGAAAGAAAAACTTTCTGGCTTTATTTTTGTTACCTCGGATGAGCTTATGGCCTGGGATAGCCTGAACCGTAATTCTTCATTTCAGTACAAGTTTGTTTTCATTACAAGTCGTTCTGCGATGAATTATATTGAGAGGTGTAAATAGTTAATGCTTAGTGGCGTATAGTAGTTGCCTTATAGAACGAGAAATATTCACGCTATAATATGTTTTTCTTGTTCACGCTCTTATCAAGATTGTTGTGCAGTTTGTGTATCAATTAAAACGAACGGTTCCCCCCCTGCCCCCTTATCAGTAGGATTGGCCATAGGACGTTCCATTTTTTATCCGCACCCCTCTAAGGATGACGGGTTTTCGAATATGGGGGTTCGGATTTTTTCTTCAAAGAAGCCGACAAAATTTGGTCCCTTCAATGGTAGATTTCAAGGAAATGAAAGCAAAGTTTTGAAGGTATAAAGCTGTACTGAACTGCTTTTCCAACACACATAGCCGACAGAAGCAAACTGACAAATGTTCTTTTACATGTATATCAATTTTTGCTCTTATTTTGAATCTAATCGTCCAAACTGCATTGATGTCTCTGCAAAATAAAATAGCTTCATGGCCAAAGGCAAAACTGTCACTAACAGAAAACTGTTTGAATGGGAAAAAAGCACGGATAACGAACCGTCTAGAAAGAGTTCGAATGGTTTGACTAACCGTTTGTCAAGCAGATTTTGAACAGATTTGCAAACCGTTCAAAAGATCAAGATCATCCGTTTCAATACATGAATAAAATTGCCGAATGAAAGAATAAGATAAATTTCAAATGTATGGGAAAACTGCTTGAAGGGATTAATAAAATATTGTTGAATTGATTTGTTAAAGAAAACTGATAAACTGGCTGCAAAATAATCGTTCTGAAGGGAATGTTTATCCGTTCTTTTAGTTGAAGTTATTATGGAAATTCCCGTGATTGAAAAATAAAATAGTACTTTGATTTCTGTCTCATCGCTCGCTATCGACATGATAGCTTTTAGTCTAGTTCACTTATGATGAATTTTATTATTCAGCAAAAATCAGTTCGAACAGATTGTTAAAGACATAAGTAATCATTCCAAATGGACCAGAACTGGCGATGTTGATTTATTATTTCAGTCGATGCTTGATAATAATATTTTCAGGTTGTTTGTAGCCTGTTCCAGGCATTCAGATGGTGGGGAGCGGGCAAAAATTAGTTGGGCACAGGTGAAAAATTGACCAGGGAACTCCCCTCATTTTTTCCCCTTGTGTTTCTTTTGGCACTCGCCACATACGATTTAACTTGCTCCCCACTATCTGAACGTCTCGAACAGGCTAGGTTGTTGAAAAATGCTTCTTCTACTCTTGTGATGGAGAAAGGATTTTGATCGATCTATCTCATTGCGTGGCGACATGACTGCTTTTAGTCTAGTTCACTCATGATGAAAATAATACTAAGGTATTTGCTTTACCAAAATATATGTTCAACTTTTCAATTCCGCTTTTGTCTTTTGATTTAAGCAATACATGTGAAACATTTTTTTGTAAAAATCTCAGGTTATTTCAATACATACAGTAAGGGAGGCTCAGATGTTTGTAAAACCTTGTAATCTGATTCTGCTATGAAAAAACATTTCTTGTGTGCATTCATTCATGGGAAAACAAATAATGCTACAATCGTTTTATTCATTACAACGACTATAAATTTCAAAGAAAAATTGGTTACTATTATTCATTTGCGATGTCTGCATTTTTTTCCAGATTCAATGGTTTTTTTGGTGAAGAAAGCACCCAAGAGACGCTGTATCACAACTCAGTCTGTCCTCTCATTCCATATGTACTACAAGGTCAAAATGCTAGTGTGTTTGCATATGGCCCTACGGGAGCAGGTTGGAGCAAAATGTGTTATTGCAACATTTATTTCCATAGCTAATCATAGTAGAATCATATAACTGTATTTCTTCTTTTGCCTAGCCAGTGGTCCTCAGTCAGCACAGACAAGTGAAAAAAGCAAGCGAACGGTTTAATAGCGTATGAGGGAAAAGTGGTGGAGAGACACAAGGGGAGAGCCTGTTAGCTTTTTTTAAACACCTCAATCCACCCACTATCGCCTCCCCTCCATTTCCTGAAAAACCGTTTCTTGTGTCAAAAATGTCAATTCATCAAAAGGTGCAGTGAAGTCGAGGGTTTCACACGTTTAACATGTCTGTACTAGACTCTGCGCGTGTGAAGCCAGAACTGAAGTAAAGTGTCACAATATTGACCAATCATAGCCAGTGTATCTTAGGAGCTGGTATACTGGAATGAGGTATTGAAAATGATGTCTACAGGGTCCACTACTCCGTACCCCCCAGCCCCCATGCAGTTTTTGTGCAACTTTTGCCATGTTTGCTTTCCCCACTGTCTTGGATCCTGGTACAGGCTATCATTACGACAAACCCTTGAGTCATTATACAGGAGCAAGAACGTACATATATAATGATTACATAATATTTCAGCCGGCAATGGAGGGCTTGGTAAACCCCTTATTGTTTTGATTACTTTTGTTGTTTGGATTATTGCAATTTAGGTAAAACACACACGATGGTTGGCACACCAGATAACCCAGGATTGATTCCAAGATGTGCAGCTGAACTTTTTAAAGTGATAGATTCACAGCATGCAGCAACAACAGACTGGAAATACAAGATTTTGTTTTCCTACCTTGAGATATATCAAGAAAAGGTGATAACATGTTTATTTGCTATTAACAGTACTGACATCAGTGAAAAGAATATATACACATACTTTCCCCCATAGGTGACAAATTACTCCTTTTGCAATTATTATAATTATTGGTTTGCAGTTGTTTGTTTTGTCATTCTTAAAAGAAAATATTATTTTGTGTGTAAACTACCGGACATATGTCAAAGAATCAGATGCTGTATGTGGCATCCAGCCTGAAACAAAACCCCTGAATGACCACCTAAGGTGGTCAAGTGTAGAGGTTTGACGTACTTTGCCTAAAACCAAAATGTTATCTTTTTTTTCACCACCTGGATTCAAAGCGCTGTAATTACATGACTTTTAAGTGCCTGTACAGTAGCTGAAAGTGACCACTTGCCATAAATGGCCAACAAATTTTTGCCTAGGCTTGATTTCTGCCGCTCTCTCTAAAAAGAGACTGTAGCTGGATGCGTAAGTTGCCTGTTGTCTGTGACATAAATTCAAAATTTAATTTATGTGTTGTTACCAAACATCAGAAATGGGAAATGTCATTAAATACAGAACACATGTTGTACTTTGCCTCATCGTCACTTTGGTGTTTACCCAGAAAGATCAGCAGAAACACATACTGATGGACTTGACAGTCGTCTCTTTCACATAAGCTGTCAACAACCATAGTTCCATTTGGTTGAATCTACTATTTGCCAGCTTCTCTAAGAAAATACTTTTCTTTGTTTATGTAAATATTTTAGGTTTTAAGCTTAAAACAATTTGAAACATGACCCACGCCACATCAAACAACGCCTTTGCATCTGCTGTTTGAAATCTTCTCTAGGAAAATAAAATTATGCTGCCTGCTCCATTTGAGCAGGCAATGATCTGATTGGCTGTTATTGATAATAGTAAACTCTGTTCGGGGGAGGAGCGTGGGCTCATTTCCTGAACAACCTGGAGATTAGGATTGCGGGCTTCTCTTCTCGCCCACAAAAATATATTTCATCGCCAATATTAAAAAAAAGTATAATACCACACCTGTTTTATAAAAGATCTATTTAGTAGCACTAAATGTAGCTGACACCATTTCCAGATTCAATATTATTGTCAAAAATATTTCCATGAACTTTCTTTAAAGTTAGGGAAAAGTTTGAAGTTTTTTTCTCCTTTGTATATTTTGATGCTCATGTAGATTAATGATCTGTTGGACCCCAAGAAGACTGACTTACCAATAAGACAAGATCGTCACGAAAATATAATAATCCCTAACCTAACAGAGGTAAGAGTTTTTTAGTTGAAGTGTACATGTACTGTTAATCCGCTTAACTACAGTAAATGTGATAAATTTGTGAAATGAAACTTAACTATTCTATTTCTTTTGCAGAAACTTGTACCCTCACTAAGGGAATATATGGTGTTATTTGAAAAGGCCAGTCAACAAAGGTTGGTATGTTTCTGTTTTCATAAGTGTTGTACACACATCTTGAGACTAGGGAGTTACTGTAGTAGCAAATGAGGATTCAGATGCATTGAAAAAGGTTATTATATTAATCAGTCTTACTCATAATCCCATAGTGCCTGTCATTTGTCTGTATGTCACAGTATAAGAAAAAAAAAATAAGAAAGCTATTAATAAAAAAAATTAAAATTTTGTATTTCACGGTAAAAAATAACTATAAGAGGACTTAAAACATGGATACTCTGTTGACCTGATGGCCACTTTACATGTACAGTGTAGGCCTTATGCATACTTCACCTTGAGTTAAGTTGAGGCAAATCATTGCATTGCACAATTTTTACAACATGTAGACGTTTTTAAAACTCAGCGCTCACATACTGAGCTCTGGTTGCCTGTGTATGAACATGTGATAATTGTTGTTTTTAGAAAAACAGCTGCAACCAAGCTGAATCCACACTCAAGTAGAAGCCACTCTATAGTCTTAATGAAGGTATTCTGTCAAGAAATCTATGTAATTATGTTGCTAATTGAGGTTCTCAACATCAAACTACAAATTTATCAGCCTCGTGGGTGTGGTCATTGAAAAAACGTAATGCAGGGTTGTAATCTATTGATTCTTCGATTTTTCCCAGGCTGTTGTAAATATAAAGCTGTTGGTTTGGAGATAAAGGAAAAATAGAGTATAGAGCTACAATAGCTTGTGAATTTCACAACTTCATTGAAGTTGAAGGTTTTTTCATTTTGCACAAAGTTTGGCATCTTTCAAGTCATTTGCTTTTCTTCGGGGGTGGGGGAACAGTTACACGTGGCCCAAACTCATTCCACGGACTTCTCGAATTTTTCTTCCATCGCAAATGTGTGGAAAGAATCTAAGGGCTAGTCAGTGGTTATGGAGCTTTACTAAAATATCATTTCAGTCAGTCCTTTATAGGATGCCTGGTTTTATTATTTTTTTTCTTCTTTTAAAAGCGTTTGTCCGGGAATAGTACTAAATTTTGCTTTAAATTTCAGGTAGAAAAGAGCCAGAAAGTAGCTCCATTCACTAAGCTTAGCGGGAAGTTTTACTTGATCGATTTAGCTGGTTCCGAGGATAATAGGAGAACTGGAAACGAGGGATTAAGGTATGCAGCAAAGTTACTGGATCTGAGTACCCTGGTCCCAGAGCTTTTCCTTGGCGTTTTTTTCCGCGTGAGAGAGAGCGAGCCGCGAAGCGGTGAAAATGAGGCGCAAATCTCTTCCCTCGCCTCCCCGCAGCACGCTCACTCTCTCTCACGCGGAGAAAATTTTCAAGAACTGGGACAAGGGTAGATCAGAGGAACGGTTCTGAGGAATTGGTCACAGTGCATTGGCGGACAAATAGAATCGGAGAATCCCTGGTCTTAATTACTAGTTCACGTAAAAGAAGTACTTATCCTCGAAGACCAAAGGGTAGTTTCTAGTTCCACCGGCCAACTGCCCTTGGTTCTTTGAGGATGACTCACGACGGCTGTGAATAACTCCCAGACATTCTTTTGCAAAGCATCCTGGGGTGGTCACGTTGAGCCATTGGTTCAATTGCAGGTGAAATTAACACAGATATCTTTGCAAGGAGAAGGGGCGCGCAGTGAACGTCAAAGAAATGTACCAAAAAAGTGATGCGCGTATGGAACTGTTGTCTTGCTCATAAAACCAATTGTCAGGGCTCTTGCAGAGACTTGAATTCTTGACAAAGTCTTGAAATTTGCCCAACAAATTTCCAGATCTGAATAAAGTCTGAAAAGTCTTGAGTTTTTTTTTTTCGAAGCTACAGCAAGTGCTTCTGAAGTGGATTTTTTTTCGTTTTGGTACATACTTATAATTCAATCTCACCTGTTTGTTTTCAGCACACCATGAGATAAGCTTTGTTTCTGCGTTTTTAAGGTCTCTACTGATCATCTATTTGATAATCTTGGGTCTGGAAAATAAATTGCTTTGAAAAAAGTCTTGAATTTTGTATCCAAAACTCTGCACCGACCATGAATTTATTTATTTTTTTTTTTTACGTCCTTGTTACCATCGTTGTTATGGTTGCACAAGCTTCCAAAAAATACTTTACTTGGAAGGAAGATGAAGTGAACTTCGGAAACAAAAGTTCTATTTTACCCTTTTCAGTAACAATTTATTCTAACAATTATTGTTAGTGTATATCTACAGTTGAACCTGTGCTATCGGCTAATGGACACCGCTCCCAATGAAAGGCTGTCCGCTCACGCGTAAAAGGTTCCCAATCGAACGCACCCCTTTTGAATTATCAGTTTATGTCGTTACGTTTTCACAGCCGTTGTCGTCGTCCTTGCTTATGTAAGGTTCCTCAAGGCGCTTTCAGTTTCCACTGTCTACTGCATGTCTGTTAATGGCTGTCAAAGATGCCAGTCCTCGTTAAGTGCCAGCAGATCGTACGTACAAAATTGATTATTTCTCTTCCAGGTTAAAAGAAAGTGGAGCGATCAATGGTTCTTTGTTTGCTCTTAGTCAAGTTGTAGATTCTCTTAACCAGGGTCTGGTAAGACTATACTACACTGTATCACCTCTTAACATTTTCAGCACTCTCAGTAATGTAAAGAGTTATGTAAAATGTAAAGTGTCCCGTAAAAGAAGGGAAAAATTGATATAATACTATTTACTTGTGGCAAGTATGTAGTAATATTAAGTCTGTCCCGTTGCAGGGGTATGACGAAGAGACGGATTACATTTCAGACAAGTAGGAAGCTTCGCTTCGAAAAAGATGGGGACAGAACCAAAAATATGAAGGCACTATTTTTTTCAGCCACCTTTGTCTTTGCATAATCATTGTTTTCGATTTCTCTTTGGACGACTGAAACAATGGTTATGCCATTCTTTATTTTATTTTTATGGTTGGGGGGTGGGGTGGGGGACAAGGTGCATTATGGTCTACATGTGTATGTGAAAATGATGAATGATCCTGTTCAGAATTGCATTTAGAGGAACAGAAGCTCTGCTCGACTGCTTTTGAACTTGTCTTGTCGCTATAAAAGCTGATGCACTACACCATAAAGATCGGCTGCATAGGATGAGACTTTACGTAAAAGCTATTTTAACTTAAACCGTCCAACAAGTCATCTGATTTCATTCGATTTGTTTCTGATTTCTTTTTATAAGTCAAGGATACCGTATAGGAACAGCAAACTGACTCGCCTTCTTCAGGTACGTAGAAAACTGTATAAGAGGTTTAACTTCTTATATCGTTATGGCAATGCCGAAAACGTACATGTATATCCCTACGTTATAATTGTAGCTTGTCTGGGCGTATGTGAAAGGTGCCTTTCTTTAAAAGCGCATCAACAACAACAACAAACAGCAACAAATTTATTTATTGTACCCAAAGCAGAATATTATAGTTATTTTACAAGTTGTTAAATTAATCAATTAACTAAAAGGGGTACTGACTTCCTGAAATAACTAATAAGTTAAAAATGCCAAGAAGCCAGATTCAGTAAGATAATTTAAATAAGTTTATTGTGCGGAGTACAATATGGCAGCATATCAGACTGTATACACATAAACACACAGATATACACATATACACTAGCACTTGTTACGGTAATAAGAGCGAAAAAGTAGGAAGGAAGTTACGAAGTACAAGATAATTGCCAAAATTAGTACTTTCAGAGGAGCAAGCTTTTCGTCGAAAGTCGCTCGTAGTTCTTCCACACTTATATGATTTGCAGACATATTAACACAGAAATGACAATTAGACAGACTTACACGACAGAAAAATAAGTAAAATATTGAAAATTGGGTTAGAATGTCACACGAAGAAAAATCGCGACCATCTTGTTTCACCACCGCTGAGCATCACATTTAGCCTGCCTCATAGACGTAATCTAACGGCGGCAAGACGTCTGCGAAGCAGTGCCGCGATCCTTGTTCTGGGACCTCAGCGGACTCAACGAATTAACGGAAGTATGTTTATAATTTCCCTTTAAACTGATCGGCAAATCGACAATGGCTTTTTTGACAGGCCATCCATCGCCTGAAGTCAAATCACAGTGAATGGGTGCGGCGCTGGCTCGCAGACAGACTTACACCAGACGTTTGGTTTCGTCTGTGGCACAGGCTAAACACATTCAGTGTCAACGAATTTACTAGAAAGAGTTCGAAGCGAAATGATAACATCGCTTTCACGGATTTCCATAATTAGAAACAACTCGTAAACGTTCATTCTTCTTCAAGTATTTGCTGTAATGTCACGTTTCTGGCAGGACGTAACAATGTCTCTTTATCTGAGCTGAGATCATGATACACTTGTATCATTGAAGCTTATTAGTTGTAGGAATCGACAGAGTGTGTGTGTGTGTGTGTGTGTGTATGTGTGTGTGTGTGTGTGTGTGTGTGTGTGTGTCAATAATAAATTTCATGATTATGGTGTACTTTTTTTCTAGGATTCCTTGGGTGGATCAGCGCATGCTTGTGTAATTGCAAACATTGCACCTGAAAGAAGGTTTTACTCGGATACAGTCAACACTTTGAACTTTGCTACTAAGTCCAGAACAATTGTCAATGAGCCTTTTGTGAGGCGAACAGTCGGTAAGTGGTATTTATATACCTTTTTTCCAATAGCGTAATACAGATACTTGTGCTCTGTTTCTTCAAAGATAAACCTGTTGTGAACGCTCTCTTAGGGTCGGATACAAGATTCAGGGTTCGTACAGTCTTGAATTCTTGAAAAAGTCTTGAAATTTGCCCAGAAATTTTCCAGAAATGGAAATAGTCTGGAAAATAGAGATTAAGTCAGTCTGATTAAGTCTGGGGATTTTTCTTTCCAAGCTACTACAAGTGCTTTATTAGTGAATTATTTTTTTCGTTTTGGTCAAATCTTATTCAATCTTACACGCACGTTTGCTGCACGCCATGAAAAAAGCTTTGTTCCTGCGTCTGTTTACTTGATAGTCACTTGCACCATAAAGCGGGTCCCGCCAGTACTTTTTCACAGGCTGTCTATTGAGAGTTCGATATCTCCATAATATTTTTACTCCGCAGGAGAGAATTTTCAGGTAAAATTCTGCGAATATTGTAATGGATCGGTCAACTCTAAGAACGCCCATCCCGCACCCTCTTTGTCATTTCCCGGACATGAGATAAAAAAAAATAATAACTTTATTTACCGAGGGTGACACATTACAGTTAAGAACTGGTAAACTTGTGGCCCTCCCCTAAAATATATAAAGCTAATTTACAAATATTAAAAAGGGTAAAAGCAGTTAAAAAAAGGTAAAAACGGGTAAAAAAAAACATTGTCAAGTCTTGAGTTCCCAGCTTTTGGCATTTGACTTACTATTGGATGGGCCATATATTTTTGTTGAATTCTATATTTTCGGTAGCCTGCGTGGCAGGCGTTAAAAGTGGAAGGGTGAGGGAGAATTCGAGCGCGCGAGGAGGAGGAGGAAAAAGGTACGGTCCTTGCTGGCATTCCTTCCCCCAACCTCCATTCTCCCTCCTCTTCCCATTTTAACGTCTTTCATACAGGCTACATTTTCGATAGACTGCTTGCAGTCCACCTTTTTCTCTTAAAATCCCAGCCAGCGCAATTGCAAACAACAATAAGGATTTAGGACTCGGGCTCACGCCCTCATTTATCGCGGCTCTCGTACATGGATTACGCGTGCAGTAACTTTACAGAGAAAAAAAAAACAGAGACATCTTGCAGTCTACATTTTCGACTACTTTTAAAAAGCAACTTTGTGCATGGTGTGTAAAGAATAAGTAAGACAACGACTTTCTTTTTCTTTTCCTGAACTTCGATACAGTCTTTTAGAATTCATCCCCAGAAGCCAACATTTGAGCGAATTGAACGAGATGGAATAAGCGCGATAAAGTTTGAAGCAGCGCGGCTTCACTTTTCAAGTGAAGTTTTCGTAGCTATCGCCATCGTTGTTTCTTTAGCTCCTTATTTTTTATTTTTGCTGACAAATGATGTCCACCAAATCTGTCGTTTCATTCTGTTTAGTTTCCCCTAATTAGAGTTATTTGTTGTTGTTGTTGTTCTAACATGTTAGCCGGTAATTCTTTATACACCTTTGGCATCCTTTGCGTGTTTATATTGAGTTCGCCTCATGTTAAGTGTTACTTTACATCTTCAGTAAGTTCTATGACCATCGCGGTGAAATGTTCAATTCGTTTTCCTTCGATTTCCTGGACACACTTCTTTTCGTCGACGACCTTGATATTCCATCCATTTTCACTTGCAATTTCGGTAAGCCTTTCTTCTGAGCCATAAAAGTAAGAGAAGGTGACAATAAGTCGACCAGATTCCTTAAGGTATTCCTTTGCTTTGGAAAGATAGCTTTGAAGGCCGTGGTAACCAGGATCCAGAAGGCTCCTCATTAATGGCTCGACATTAGTCCCTGGGGCCATGCCATAGCCACCCCACGGATGATTCCAGTATATCATGTCAAACTTCCTTCCGGTGATTTCTTCATGATCGAAGACGTTCGCCTTAACAGCGTGGAAACGGCTTTCCACGCCATGAAGTTTTACATTTGCTTTAGCGTTTTTCACTGCCTCGTCGATGATGTCAGTTGCCCAAACGTGGCATTTCTCAGATGACAAAGCCACTGATATACCAATAAAGCCCGCGCCACAGCCTACCTCAAGGAATTCGATGGATTCTTGTCGGGTTTTCTTCGCTATTTCTTCGGTTGCCATCCTGTATATTGTCGAATTGACGAAGTGGGCATGACCGTCTTCGGGTGGGTAAAACACTTCGGGATATACCATAAATTCCCTTTGAAGAGTGATGAACTTGTGATTGTTATTTTTGGCTTGTTTTCTCATTTCATGTTCGATATCTTGGGATTCTTCAAGTTCCTTAGTAGATTCCATGATCTTCTTCCTTATGATAGTCTTCGAAATTAAAGAAAAAAGGGAGAGCAAAGTTTTGTTGTCTCCATATATATTTTTTCCGGCGTCCTCGTAATCAAGTGCACAATCTTTTCATTTTTATCTTGATTTTGCTAATAACGCATCTTCCCACGGTGTGGTATTTGTCATGCATGGCCTGCCGGGGTAAGCCATTTGTCTCTGTCAAATTTCACATTTTGTACTACTTTTAAAAAAGGCGGAATACGGCACCAAGAGAGCATGATGCCGTATACTGCTGCTTATAAGTCCCCCAACTAATAAGCCCCCCCATTTATAGGCCCACATCCACCTGTAAAAACGAAATAAAAACAATACATCCGAATATGACCGCTCAGGATATAAGCTATCATTGTGATAAATTCGATTTATTATGACGTTTTGAAGCCTTGATTAAAGCCAGTGTATTTTGATTAGCATAGCTGTAAATAGCCTGTTTCGAAGCGATTTTTCCATGAATTCCACTCGGATACGAGCCTTCCTAAAAGCCCCTACGAAGATGTATAAGTCCAGGCCTTATAAACAAGAAAGTTTGAAAACTTCATACTCTGTTATTAAAAAAATAACACCTCTCCTAATATAACTCCAGCCAGTTCAAAGTGTAAGCACGGTCACTGTGTAATGTTTGGGAAAGAAGAGGAACATGGCTTGGTCTGGCTTTATTCCCTGGCTTTAGTGGAGATGCCCACTCATGGAGGCTGTTCGGAATAACTGCTAAGGTCTAACCTTTGGTTTTCTGCAGTCAGCTCCACTTCACTCTAATTCCTGTATCTTTAACAAAGTCTTAATCACAGCGATGTTCTATCTACCGACACTCGAGTGATATGTCGACCGATAACGCGGTTGCATGATAAAATCCACGCACTGATTGGTTATCGTTGCCACACCTTAATTTCTATTGACCGGAAAACTATCCGCTCACTGCGAGCTACTGCTTGGGAAGTCTTCCCTGATTGGCTACAGCAGACTCATGAGGTTACATGTTAGGTAATGCCCTCGCTCCTTGGCCTTCTTGAAAATATTGACCGAGCAAGCAGCGCCACCTCGCATTCTTTTAGAAGGCCGAGGAGCGAGAACCTTGCAATGCAAACGTTTTTACGGCTTCGTCACGCGAAGAACGTCTGCATGGGAGGCTAAGGAGCAACATCTTTATTCGTTTTTTGTTTTGGTTTTTGTTCTGTTTTGCTTGGGTTTGTTTTTTTGTTTTGGTTTGCTTTTTTGGTTTGTTTTGTTTTTAAAATCGACTTTCCATTGTTTTTGGAACTAGTAAGTCTTTATTGTGTCCACTGAAGTAGAACAGTAAGTTGTTATTAGAGAGATTAAGATAGAGGTTTGCACAAACACTGCAAACGGCAAACCGCGGTTAGAAGTTAGCGGTCACGCGTTCGAGGTTTGCTGCACGTCACGCGATTAAGTTTGCGGTTAATGTGGCCCGAAGACTTCTGGGAAGATTACTCCAATATGGCGGCTGCAAGGAGGTAAATATATGCGTCAAAACGCTTTTGAGTTCTTTTACTGCCATTGTTTTCATTTTCTTCAAAATTTTAAAACTACTGTGAAATTCTTGAAGCTAAGTGATTACTGCCTTTTGTTAATAGGAGAAATTTTGGCCAGCTATCGGAAGTAATGATGTACGATCTTCTTGATAGCAGTAGCAGTTCAAGTTCGAGTGACAGTGAAGATGAATTGGATGTGCTTTTATTGGAGTTGGCTACTACTCCGAGCCGAGAACTTGGACCCCACGTTAGTTTAGATGACATAAGTGAAATCGACTGTAAACTATTATTCAGGTATATCAACAGAGACAGAGTTGTGCTTGAAATGTTCGTGTTCTGCAAATTGTTTCAATCACTCTTACGTGTTTTCTTTTTGTTTATATCTTGTACGACTTGTCAACTTGTACCGTTCACAGATTTGAAAAGGTCGATATTCCACGCCTCAAGAGTGCTCTACAATCACCAGGATATTACATTTGTCGGAATGGCACGTGTGCCACAGCCATGGAGGCGTTACTGATATTGCTGCGCAGATTAGCCTATCCAAATCGTTGGTGTGAACTCGTTTCTCTTTTTGGAAGAGCCGAACCAGAATTGAGCATCATTTTTAATACGGTAGGTGGCCAACATAAAAAATGAGGTTTTGAAAAAAATATATATATATATATTATAAAATAGTTTTATACTGATAGGTGATGATGATCAAATACAGGGTTCCCACAGTCCTTGAAAATCCTGGAAAGGAATAAGCCCTGGAAAGTCCTGAAAAATCATTGGCTGGGGTCTTTGAAAATCCTGGAAGGGGAAAAATATACTGCAAGTTTTATTTGGAACAGAAGGTCCTTGAATTTGCTAGAAAATCTGGGAAGTCCTGGAAAAGTCATTGAATTTCACATTAAGTTAAGAGTGGGGACCCTGGCGATAAATTTTATTCCCCAAAAAATTCATGGTCTTTCTAGGAAAGTGCACACTCCAAGTCAAAGATTCCTTGTGCAACAGAGAAGGAAGCTGTTAGTGAGGCTGCACAAACAGCATCAAGCATTTTTGCCATATTCCTTTGAAGATAGCAAGGGGGAGGGGGGTTGGTATAGAAAGAAGAAACCATTTTATTGGAAAGGAGGGGGGCGGGCTATAAAAGAGGTCGCCAGTCTCTATAGGTCATGGTGGATCCCTGAGGAGTACAGTTGTTTTGACCAGATCCCCTAAATGCTTTCAAATCATAGATAATGGATGACATCCACAATCGATACAGCCATTTACTGGATTCCCTGGATCTCATATGGCTTGACACTGGACTGTTTTCAGAAGTTATACATGCCAAAGGGGCTCCTCTACAACAGTGCTGGGGTTTCATAGATGGAACAGCACGACCAATAGCAAGACCTATCCATAGTCAAAGGATTATGTTTAGTGGCCACAAAAGAACACATTGCATAAAGTTTCAGGTAAAATAAGTTACATGTTGCTGATGATGAAGAAATTCCATTACTAAGCAATTGTTTTCCTTGTATATACTTAAGCAGCTGAAATATGACAGCCAAAGCTTGATTTTGGCATAGATGAGAGAATGTTTTCCAATTTGGCAGCTATCATTTGCCAAGACTTTTTTAAACTCAAGATGCAAAAATAAAGAAAATCAACATGGCAGGTAAACTGTGTCCCCTTAAAAATGTATACTTGATAACAGTATGCAAATAAAGGTTATTGTTGGACACTATACACAAACGACTTTGAAACACTTGCCATAATGCTCAAGAAAACAGTGGACAGTATCAAAGTTTTCATCAAGTTTTTGACAACAATTTGTCTTCTTGCAGTCAATTCAAGCACCCAATGGACTGATAGCTCACATGTTTGGACCAATTGAGGGACGGAGGCATGATGCTTTCATGCTTGGTGTGAGTGACCTGTTGCCCAAACTGCAAGGTTTTGTTCAACCTAATGGGCGGCCCTATGTCATCTACGGAGATCCAGCCTACCCCATTACATGCAACATCTTGGCTCCTTTTCGAGGAGTCAATCTAACCATTCATGAACAAGAATTCAACAGAAAGATGAGCAAAGTCAGAGTGAATGTGGAATGGGGCTTTGGAAAGATCAGCCAGAATTTTGCTTACTTGGATTTTAAAAAAAATTTGAAAGTTCTACTCCAGCCAGTAGGAAAATATTACCTAGTCGCTACCATTCTGATCAATTGTCATACTTGCCTGTATGGATCTCAAACAAGCTCATTTTTTGAGCTGGAACCGCCAACACTTGAAACATACTTGTCCAATCAATGAACAGGCAGGCCTTAAAATATCAAAATTTTTTACTTTGGTTATAAAATGTTACATTCTTTTTAGCAAAAGGAAAATAACCACTTTGCATTTTATTGCAACTGCTTCATTCAGCTATGAGGGTCTCTGTTACCAGAGATTATGCTGATCTGGTCCCCAGCACTGAATAGAGACATTTCAACAATTTACTAAGTAAAAGGAACTTTCATCTTCAAGTTCAATTAACAAACTTTACTTTGTACTTAAATGCATCCAACAAAACTTTTCAATCTTTTCAAACTGTTCTAACAGTACTCATTGCAAGATTGAACATGTTACATCAAAAAGACAGTTGGAAAGATATCTGAAGGTGGTCACAATAAAAACTGAATATCAACATTTAGAAGGATTTTCCTTCTGTCAGCACATGCTGGCCCACAATATAAACAAAAGATACATGTATGGCCCTAGTATGAATATCACACTGTACTTTAATGAAGATTCACTGTTTCTATGCAGTCTTTTTTTCGGAAAGCAAGCTGGTCTGTTTTTGCACAAAGTGGAGACACATTTATACAATCCCCTAAAACATAACAGCAGATTCAGATGGTTAACACTGGCATTTTGCTCCCAGCTCCCTTTTGGGGTGCCCAGTTCAATGTTGATGAGCAGACATTCAATACTGATGAGATAGACGAAGTGCAAACAAGTGTAGAATGGGGCTTGTTGGAAGAATTCTACAGTATTTTGCATATTTAGCAAATCAGTAAATCAAGCTCACTCACGACATATATACCAAATCAGTAAAACAGACAATAATGCAAAACTTTATTTCCTTTTATGAATGTTGAATATTTCATACTTAAGATATTCATTTGAAGATATTTCTCTCAAGGTTATTTAAGAAAAATACTGGTACATTATTTTTTTAAAAAAATATTTATGTGAAGACATTTCTTTCAGGGTTAAAACATATATTAAATATATTTTTGAATATATTTCTTTCAAGGTTTAAATAAAATTTTGAACCTTGGACAATTGTATCAATTAAATAAAATAATATATTATCACATGTCAAAAATAAACTTAATGCATGAACCAACTTTTTTCAAGGATAAAACAAAAGCTTGTCACTTAAATTTAAAAATCTTATAAGTCTATCATGAAAGTTTTTCTGCTAAGAAGGGCAAACACTTATAGATCATTTCATCTTGTTTAGAATGTCCAACATTGCCCTTAGTTCCTGCATCTCAAGTTCCAGTCGCAGCTTTCTCTCTTCTGATTCTTTCTCAAATTTCTGAATTTGAAACTGCAACTCCATCTTTTTGAACTCAATTTCTTTTTCCTTGAGACTGGCCTTTTGGTCGTATTTCTCAGCCAGCATTTCCACTGCACTTAGCTTTCCCACTCTTCTTTTTTTGCAACCTAACAATAGCAGAGGTGACTAACTTTAGTGCTGGTGCCCCAAAAGTGGGTTTCAGTTATCATTGATATCAGATTTGTTGTACCAGTTGATGCAGGGTACCGTTCGTACCCCTATTAATTCATCTTCATGCCCATCTAGCTACCTCACTGTCTACCTATTGGCCATCTAGCAAGGAGGGGTCAAGCATTGGCACATCAGTAAGTTGTACTATTAGTATGAATTTGCCCCCCCCCCCCAAAGCAAAACGGTTGACCTGTCCCTTACCCCCCTCCCTCTTCAACCCAAAGTTTGCTGAGGTTGCACCAGCCTTTGTTTGGCCACCTATTTAGCTAATTGGGGAGTTTATCATACATCTGTCAATTAAATGTTGGCCTGGGGGGGGGGGTGCAACCAGGGGTGGGGATTTAGATTGCTTATGCCATCAGGGAGTAGATTTTGACACATAACATCTGCCGCCACAAGGATAAAATACAGAAAATGTTTTGGTCAATTCTAACAAAATACATTCTCCCGGGGGAGTGGCTTTTAACAAAATCCCACCCCCGCCTACCCCCTCCCAGGTAACATGCATAGATGCATTATTTCAACATACCTTTTCCTTTTTTTGGTGACTCTTCGTCTGATGAAAAATCTTCATCCAAGTTTTCCAAACTAGTACTGGATGGACCACTTCCATCACTTCCACGTCGTCTCTCTAATTGTACAAAATATGAAGCATTAGTTAAGTTCACTGTACTGTAAAGAAGGCCTGGGAAATGAATGAGGGACTGCTTAACCACCACACACACAGACACTCATTTGCCCCAGGTGTGCAAATTTATCAACTTAAGATTTTAAAACAGCCATGACAAATTGTTAACAGGTCTGGGGATGGGGTGGGGGGCTGGAGTTTTAACTGACTGTCAAAACAAAAATTAAATGTTGGGTTCAACCAGGTTCAACTACAGTTAGTCGAGCGATTCAACCAATCCCCCATGTCCAGTTCTCCATGGCAACAATATACAGTCATACTCATAACACCAAATTAAATGTATTTTACAGACACGATCCAGTTAATAAGCTAACATACTGGCCATCCCTTCCATGGCAGCACGTCTCATTTCCTCTCCTGCCTTTTTATCCCTCTCCTCCTTGGCTTTCTTGGACTCCTTTTCCTTCTGTTTCGCCTCAGCAAAATCTCTGCGGAAAGTCACTATATCTTCGCAAAGCTGTTTCAATTCGGTGAACTCGTCCTCAGTTCCTGACCTAAAATATTAAAACACTTATATAACTGGAAGCTCAAAGCTTCTCTATAAATAATCAGAATATGGGGGTACCTTTTCAAACATCGAGATTCTTCGGATTTGTATTTTTCAAGAACTCTGTCCATACGCTCTCTGCAACTACGGCCTGTTAATTCTACCGGCTTTTCTGGGGTTGAAAAGTGGTTGCTAAGCTTTGCAGCGATAACATCCCAATCAGATGACTTCTCAGGCCTGGCTGCATCCACTTCTATTGCAAGATCAATGTCGTTCTGAACTAACGGCCATCTGAACGGCGCCATTGTCTGCAAGATGCAAATCAACATGAATTACACTGTACTGCAAGTGTTTGGAAACAAAACAAGTTGGATTACTGTGTTTGCTTTCATCTTAATTTAACTGTTACTACTTTACCATGAACAGCTATTTTATTCGACGGTATTATCTGTTGACTAAATATGTCACAAATATCTTCTTTTCAATACAGTTTTTGTGGAAGCAAGAACCACTCGTGGCTCGGCAGCCATGTTGCTTGAAACTGAAAAATGCGGTCGCGATTCACAACATAATTGCAACTCACGAATTGCATCTCTGCGCTAAAACCATATTGAATGAAAATTACAGATATGTATCAATTAATCTACACTCCCCTAACGCGACTTGTTTCAAAATAAAAGCAAAGAAACCTTGAGGCAAATGACTTACCACTTTTGGCGGATGAAGTGCAGGTTTGCGCTTGAAGTTTGGCGTTGAGACTGCCGCCCTTGAACCAGTGCACTGAAGAACTGCAAGCGTCAAACGCCCTTTACGGCTTTTTGGAGTTAGAATTAGAGAGATTTCGTAATAATGTCCTCCTGTTCCACCTCAGTGATCTCTTCCTTCATTTATTGAATCTGTAAAGTATAAATTATTTTCTCTCTAAAATTTTGTTATAAAGGTTAAGTCGTCCAGCGGATATAAAATGAGGAGAACACTGTTAAAATTACAAAGTTCGGACTTGTAGATAGCTTTGACATAACCCTTATACATCTAGTAATGAAAATAAAAAACTGCTATTGAACAAAATCGGACACAAGTGCATAAAAAGACCATTAAGATACTTGTAAGTAAAAATAGCGCGGTGCGTAAGTGCGGCGCTTTTAGAAGCGCCCAGGGGAAGATCTAAAATGAGACCACAGGGTTTACATTTTACTGTATGATGCTAATGTTTTGTTTCATTTTTTTAGACAAGTCCATGGCGTTTAAAAGACCCGCCTCAGAGTCCATGGCGCAGAGACAGGTAATCTCCTTTTAAAAAATGTTTTATGAAACGGATCTTTGCACGGAAGCGATATTTTACAAAGGAAAAACGTTGAAGCTTGTTGGAAAAAACTATGTAACACAGTGGCTTAACACCTGTATTCATCATCTATTAATTTTTCTTGTAGGCTAAGCGTCTAAAGTCAGATGATAGTAAAGCATCACAAGACCTTTCAAAGGTGCGTTCTCTCGAAAAAGTTATTTTTCCTTAGAATGCATAGCCCTGCAGAATTCCCAGAAGTACCCTCTCTCCAAGGATTTTCCCGCCTTGCTCGCTAGAAAACCTTGATGAAACTAAACATACAAGGTAGAGAAAACCCAGTAAAAAGCCAACAAAATTTTGTTCTCAGGGTTTTGTGGAGATTACAAACAGATATTTCACGCCGAATATCATTCAGTAGTTGATCGCCTTTATTTCTTCAATCCCCGTCCCAAAATCTAGATCCCGTGGCGTAAAGTACATAAAGCATGCTCTGGCATACATTGGTTGTCTTGCTTTGACTGAATCCCCCCCGGCTGGGAGATAAAAGTTGTTACTACCGTGAAAGGCTAGGTGGGTCATCCTTCTATCCGAGATGTATGAAAAGTGGCTCGCCCAGGTTAACTCGGGTAGGCGAAGGTACCCTTCAACCCGGGACAAAATGTAAACTGGACCTTGAAGTGAACATACTGAAATAAAATTGGTCTGTGAAAATCGTTAAAAAGCGTGGAATAATCAGTAAGTTGGTTGATTCTGATCAATAGTAACCCTGTCAGGACCTGATTAATAGCTTGCGAGCAGGTTTTCCATTTGGAGTATTATCGTGAGATGTCCCCCCTCGCAGTTTTGGATCTTCCTCGCGCGTTCCAAAGAGCTTGTTTGCAGGTTATTGAAGATGTTTTAAAATACAAATGATGTTTGCATCTGTATCTGCTATTGGCCAAAAGCGGAAAATGCAATATTATAGACCTTGTCACGGTTTTCGACACCATCTTGACGAGTAGGCAACCGTGTGAGAAATTACAGTGTTTGTATGAGAATCTAATGTCGAATAATTTCCGTAAAACGGCTGTTCTGAAAAAACTATCAATTGTAAACTAAAGCTACAAAGCATAGGATTGTCCTAAAAAAAATTGGGGGGCGTACCTGTGCTTAAATTTCTCCAGAGGCTTGCTTTAGATTTTCCATATATTTGTCTGTAATTTTCCCGGGACTTTCGTACAGACAAATGTATAGAAAATTTTAAAAAGTGGTTCAAGGTCTTCTAGTGCATGTAACGCCCTCAAATTTTTTCAGGAGAATCCTTAGGAGTGAAGCTTTGGTTTACAAATCATATTTTTTCAGAAAAGCTGTTCTACGGAAATTTTTCGACATTAGATTCTCATACAATCACTGTAATTTCTCACGCGTTTGCCTACTCGTCAAGATGGCGTCGAAAACTGTGACAAGGACTATTGAACTGCACTTGCAGTGTATGCAAATAGAGACCTTTAGATTCTAAGACGAGTACGACAACGAGTACGAGATTTTCTCAATAATATCATAGGTGACGAATTACTCCTTAATTTTGGCGCGAAATTTAAGCGTTACTTTGTAATTTCACATGTGAAATTACAAAATTGCCATGGCAACCCTTCCGTACGTCTCAGTGTCAAGATGGCGACGAAGTTTTAAAATGCCCTGAATGAAAATGTCAGGGCAAAAAAAGACGCTTTAGAAAACCTGAACACACAAGAGAACATCAAGAAGGATTCTAACAGGTATTTTGCCGAAAAAGTCTGAAAAATTCTGAACTTAAGGTCTAAACATTTGAGAGAGTGGAGTTCTCGATCGATACGATCCAGGATAAACAGGTCAAAAATCCAAGATTGCTAACGTAATTCGTCACCCATGATATTAAAAGGTAATCAAATGGTATACTCGTGAAATTAGGGAATAATTTCACTTGCGTTTTGTCCAAATCCTTATAATTTCCCTCGCCTGAAGGCTCGGGAAATTATTAGGATTTGCACAGAACGCGCGTGAAATTTTTCCCTAATTTCACTAGTCACCATTTGATTACCGATACTAATAAGGAGTGCTCGCGCGTGAACCAGCGTCATTTTGGCGGGAAAATGTGGTAGCCGTCGTCATTCTACTACCAGTTTTAGCGAGAATGTCAAAGTGGCGGAAACAAGTTATCAAATGTAAGAAGTTTGATCATTTTGCGATCGGGAGAGGGCTTAACATCCTTCACTAAAGGTAACAGTGGTAACTTTTCTACTGAAAAATGGTAAAATGAACCTTTTTCGCGAGTCTATACTTTGAGAATACGCGAAAAAAATTTAAGTCAAATCTCGTTCTCGTAGTCGTCCTCGTCCTCTAATCTAAAGATCTCTAATAAAGGAGAAGTTGATACTACTCGTATAAATCGTGTAAAAAACAAAAGATATTGCAATAGTCGGCTTTACATGAAGCACCACTCAAAACGAAATTTAAAGAATAGTATGGTATTTTCCGCTTTGGCCAATTGTTGCCACATTTTCCATTTATAGGACATTCAAACAATGTCGGATGATTTGATTTCATATTTTTAGCAGCTGTTCGCCGAAATTTTAGACAGCAAATTGACTTTAATATTGGTGCTGTTGTTCCTAATTTGTAGCCTCTCCGTGCCGTCATAACAGCAGTTAGCGTCCCTCAGCAAGTCAATTTACCAGCCGGAATTCTGAGGTGAGTCACCTGCGACTTTGTTTCATTATTCCCTTTGAGCTACTCTGAAAATAAATAACTGAATCATATATAAATACTCAGTTGATTATAACGGTAGCATGATCACAAAACAAAGTACCGGGCTCTTCGTCTACCACCAGATCGAATTGGAATTTAAGAAGTGCTATTTTTTTTTAAGGAGTGGGACGCTAGGCAGGGGGAGGGGCGCACGGGGAGCCAGAAAGATAGCCTGCGAGAGCATCCGGTTTTTTCGGCTCAAGCGTCTAGTTTCACCCGTAAAAAACCGAATGCTTTCGCAGGCTACCAGAAAGAGAACTAACAATAAAGTGAACCCACCTCTGACTTGCTCAGTTCAGTTCTAAAATTCGGAACACCCCGAAAACATTATACTGTAGGTAAAAAGGTAAAGAGAAAAACACATTTGTGGGATATCGAGAGCTTGCTTGCAGGCTAAATCACTGTAGTCTGTGCTCGCTCCCATAAAGGAAATTATTTTGTTTATCTTAAGGTGTCCAGTGAACACCTATCCGATCTGTGACGCTCCACTTTCGAGATTAGCTCGGGTGCAGCTTCGCTCCGTTACAGAAGTCGCGCCGAAATCACTGTTCTTATGAACAGAAGCCCTATCTAGTATGGTTTTTGATTCGGCGCAAAAGCAATCCTATATAGGGTGAACACAGCCCAAATCAAATGTAGATCGGAGTTCAAGTCAATTAATTTCTGGTTGTTCGCTCTGGGCGATCAGAGTGTATTTAGTTCTTGCGCTCGTAAAATTTCCGAGGCAATAATAGAGGTTTGACGTCAATTCTCTCCCAAACGTAAAGCCAAGTTGGTTTTTTTTTCTCAGCCCTCTTAGGGCAGAACAGCAGAAGTTACAGGAGCGCTTGGCTGTCTTGGAAAGACTCGCCCTTGAGCATGGTGATTCACAAACAAAATCCCGGAGCGCTAAAGGCGACTTTCCTAAAGGTGAGCATATTTAAATGATATAATTGTAAAATTTTTATTTAGAATCTTCTAGCTGCAGAGCGCACTACCGCAATAAGAATAACGAGAAATGTAAGAGCGAGATGCTTTGAGATTATAGTGAACAAGGAAATGTACGAACTTGCCTAGCGTTATTGTCTTTAGTTCATAGTGTGGGTGCGGATTTGCTTCCAAATAAATGGCTTTCAACTACACGGGGCTTCTAATCCTTTGGTGATTGCATCGTCACCCCGTTACATAGCTAGAGGGTGAGCATTGCATGATTGCGGACAGGTACCATCAACAAATGACGTCATTCAAAAGATTAAAAAGGCCCTAAACAAAACCTACACCACAAGAAAAAAACGAACCAACAATAGTTTCCGCAACATCACGAAAGAGCCGGCAATATTACTTTCCAGTGTGAACAAATCTATTTAAAGTAATAATATTTGTTGATCTTTATCAACAGTGACTAGTACCACACGGCCGACTATACCTTCCCAACAAAACTCCGGCCAACAAACGGCAGGTCGTTTTCCTTTTAAAGAAGTTAATAGATCAGATGTATGTGACTCGCCTGATTGTATAATCATCTCACCACGAGCAAGAGAGCAGGTGGGTTGCTAAGCTAGAAATTAGGTTGACCTTGACTGAGGTCTCAAAAACTTTTTGAATTGTTTTTGCCTGTCTGCACAAAAACGCAAGTCATTCAAAACGATAAGAAAACGGTACCATCTTTGATGAGAGCATGCGCGCTTACTGGTATCTAACACCTTGACGTAATCTTTTTCAAAAATCTCCACTCTGGTGTGCGTTTTGAAAAGATGCATTTTCGGTGACCCTTTTCGTCGGAGATGTGTGGACGGTGGACCAAACCGGAGAAGCAGATCTCCGTTTTCAAACAAAAACGGACGGATGCGTGTGGAAGGGGCCTGAGAATTGAAAAATACTTGCTAACTCGGTTGGTTAGAATGGCAGTGGTCAAGGGCTTGTATCCCGGCAAGCCTGAAAATTTTTAGGCTCTCTTTACACAACTGCATAAATTGCTTATTTCTTTGCGTTGATCTTCTCTACATCATTTTCTTCATCTCGCGGTTCAAATGTACGATTTTCATAAATTCATCATTTTTTTAACTCAACTGTTAACCGTTCACTCTCTTTTTCAAATGAAGACGAACTCTCACGGAATTAAATTTCAAAGAGTCATATTCAGGTTCAGAAATGGAAAGGGAAATTGGTCGTCATTTGTTAACCTTCTCCATAACAGCTGGATTGGTCACAGTCCCCTATTTTTCCGTAAGATGGTCGAAATCAAGCGCGTACCGTTACGGGAGGCCATTCCTCCCTCCCCCACCTCGATAAAGCCCCGACGCCTCACTCACACTTCGGTACATTTGAAACCAAAACGGCCGCCTGTAATGCTAAGCGCTCAATCCCGGCGATCTTATGGAAAAATAGGAGTCTATGTCGGAACAGTCTAATAAAACGCAAAAACTAGGCGATTTGAAGTCTCAGTCGTGCAGCGAGTAGAGATGTTACTTTCTTAATTAAACCCTTTGACGTCCTCGTTGCCGTCGTCCCTAATGAACCGATTATAAAAACGCCTCAATTTTTAGTAATTTTGTCAGGAAAGCCAAGTTTGACAGAAATTGAAGTTTTGTTACATTTTTAAACATCGATAATTGCTGTTTTACATTGTGCAACTGAAAGGAAGGCTCTTGGTTCCGCTGTTCTTTCACGGAAAGAAGCTGATAGAAGGGTCGTTCACAGGCGGTCCTGTAAGAACAGACCCGGTGATTTAAGTTTGAGACCTGCCTCTAGTATAAGTATCCTGTTCCTTACCGTCAGTGATAATGTTTTTGCACTTTTTTCTGTCTTTTACAGAAAGCCACTCTGATAGAAAATTTTAACGTCAAGATAAACCCTCATCTTCAGGAAACACATCGTAAGAAACAGATTAACCTAAATTTTACCGATCATACTATTAGTGATGAAGTTCTGTTCTTGTCCTGCTCGGCTTGTTTAGTGCAAAATATGTTGCGCTGCGTGTTAGGGACATTTCGTGGGATTACCCCTTTCGGTGCAGTGACCCTCAGGGATAGTCTGGATGGGAAAGTGTTTATAGTAATGGTTGACAGAAACAACAAGCCTGTATAAACTCTAGCCTGCGAACGCAGACGTATTTCCGGTCTTACTTTTCGGGTGGAGAGAAGCGACGACCGGAAATTCGTCTCCGTTTGCAGGCTAGCGTAAACTCCTGGGTTAAAAATTTTTCTTGACAAGTAAAATCGCGACCCTTTAAATTCCAAGATGATTACGACTTAAAAATTCGAGTAATTTCCTACAGATATCCCCTTAATTTCATTCTTTAATGTATTACCTGTTACAAAAGGTTGCTGTTACAGTAAGTGGCAAGATTGATGTGACATAGGGGTTGCGCCGTTTCTTAAGGAAGAACCAAATTCGATCTTACCAGCTAGGAGTGACGGAATTCCTTAAATGAAATCTAAGTCAGCTGTCTGAATTTTTCTTGACCTGCACGGATCCAAAAAAACTACAAATTGCTACCGTTTTTTTTTTCTTAAGATTTGAGTTCCGCCACGTTCTCGGCGGTTAACGAATCCGTTTTTGCAATTTTTCGTTTCTTTCGCAGTAGCCTGTACAATAGATGCTATATACTTCTTTCTTGTCCCCCGACTGTTCCTCTCTCGCGCAAGGGTAAATAACGCCCTCTGTGTACTAATGTGGTTACTTTTGTCTAACGAATCTAAGAATCTGTAATCCAGGATTATACACCAACGCAATCTAATTGTTTTGATAGGGAAAGAGTTGTTGTCGGTATTAAACAACGGAACAATCAAGGAACTTAAGAAGCTTCAAGGTGTTGGCGAAAAACGTGCACGACTGATTGTAGACTGGAGAACACTTCATGGGCCTTTTCAACAGGTAAACAAATACAGTGAAAACCTGCAAGTAAGAACCCTGTTAGGCTAAAATTTACCACTTAAGCCCACTCTATACAAGAACCTGTTTAGCCTAAAATTTGAAACGGGTTATTTTCTGAAATCTATTGAAATATTCCGTACACTTTGGCTTATTATTTTATGGCATTACAATACATGTATGTTACGTTCCGAAGGAGGATTTCAAAATTCTTGTGGTCCAGTTCTTCCTACAGTTATTTTTACGTAAATACTAATTTGGTGTGTAGATTTTACATAAAGAATACCACTAAATACCACTAAATACTCTTGGAGCTCTACAATGTTTTTTTTTTTTGCCGTTTATGTAAGAACCTGTTTAGGCTGACTTGAAAATATGTGGGTTCTTACTCGTGGGTCTTACTGTAATTCTGTTTACGTTTCACAACGCGACCGCCGGACCAGGCGAGAGCCACTTGCTTTTGCATATTATGGTGCATTTCAAAGGTTCGATAAAGAGATTGCCTTAATAAACAATTGCTAAAAAAGAAGGTATCCAGGGAGTTTCTAGATACACCAATTTTAACTTAAAATTAGTTCACAAGATTTATTGAAGTTGGTACTGAAGAGATCAAAGACCCACTATGGACTCGATCGATCTGTGGCATTTGGTTCGTCAACTCAAACTTTAAAATTTGTACAGTTCGTAATCTCCTGCCCGGCTTTTCCCTTCATCATCGGAGGGTGATGTTTGATCAAACAGCCACGCATGTGCTGATAAAAGACAATAATTAGAAAATATTTGCTGTTCCTTAAATATGTTGCCTTTTTCATCTCACTAAGTTGGCTGCCTAGAGAGATTAAAGACCTTTAGATTCTAAGACGAGGACAACAAGAACTTTCTCAATACTAACCCCTTGGTCACACTCGGGCTAGAATCGTGCTTGCTTGGTCAATTTTTGTTTATCTAGCAAATTCCTAGCGTGTTACAAATGTGACCGACCAAACTTGGCATTGCTTGTTTGCTTGATAAAGAAGGCGGAGTTGCTTAAACTTCAAAAGAACCTCAGCTCAACTCAAGAGCACTGCGAAGTGCTCTTGAGCTGAGCTACAATCCTGGTCAAAACGTTTGGGAAACTTTGTGGTTCGGGTGAGGAAAATGTATTTCCCTCCGTGTTGGGTGTTACAAGTCAAACACTTTTTACATATTTTGCATACGCTAAGGACCTCAACTTTGCTCAGGGGGGCTGGGGGAAAATCTGGATGGATGGAGGGTTGGGTGGGTGGGTGGGTGAGCGGGCGGACGGACGGACGGATGGCACTATCTACATTATAAAAAATATTAAATAAAAAGTCGCTTTCCACGAATGCCGTGCCCTAAAGTATTTGTTTAAGAAGACATTTGCGTTTATGAGTGTGTATCGCAGGTTAGCTGTAAATTCCATAGAAATACACGTGAAAAAGGGGAGGTGTCCCAAAACCTTTTGGCCGGGATTGTAGATAAACAATTAACCAATCAGGACAGGCATTGTTTGACAGCTTTATCTTTCCTTTATTTTGGCGCATTAACAAGTGCATGCAGACTGTTGAGCGTCGTGAGTTTTTTTTCTCTTCAAAATATGTCAAGCTCGAGGACTCCGTCTCCGTTTGAGAGTTCAGTCTCAAGGACTTCGTCAATTCCATCTCCCATTCCGTTTAACGAGGTGCCGAGACAGTTTACAAATTTATTTCCCGGAAGGTGGAAACAAGTTATCAGATGTTAGAAAAATTATCGCTTTTATACGATCTGGAGATCGCTTAACCTCCTTAAATAAAGAAAACAGGTCTAACATTTATGGGTGAAAAAAGTACAATGAAGCTTTCCGGAGTGTCTATTTTTTTTAGAATAATTTGAAAAAAACCCTCAGTCAAATCTCGTCCTCAGATCTGAAAGGTCTTCATGGAACTTAACCCTAGCTCCGCGGCTCTTACCACTTCTGTACTCTTCTAATTTTTAGGTGCATGAGTTGAAACTGATCGATGGATTTACTGAAAAGATGGTCTCTACATTCCTTAAGGTACGAAATAAAATGTACTAGTTTTTTCCAGGATATACATGAACGCAGGGGCGTTCCTGGGCATTTTCCAGCTTTAAGCCCGCTACCAAAATGTTGCTGGATACGCTTATTAATTTACATCCGTACAAGAGGCGGATTTTACAGGTTGTAAAGTAACTTTAGTTGGACCTTTAAGTTACAATCACTTTACATAAATGTTGTATTTCCCTACTTCTATACAATATGATGAACGCAAAGGCAACGCTGTGTTAGCGTGGCATTCTAAAATGTAAAGCCGAGGGCAAGTTTTGTGTACATTTGTTTAGAATTCGAATGCCAATCTGCGGGGTTTCTTGGCGCAGTGCTTTCAGACCACCTTGTCTGTGTCGATACTCTTGTCCATGTACGCATGTAGAACTATGAGCGCGAGCCCAGAGAGCTTCTCTGCTGGCATAGTAGAGCGCAAGTACGTCTTGATCCTTCACATACAACTAAATGATCGTTCCGGAGTTGCTGTCGACACTGGCATCGTCAAAATAAGTGTGAGAATAAATATTACCAAAAAACCTTTTTAATCCCGTGCTTGGCTTACAGTCAGGTACGCCCCTGCTTGAACGTATTACACTTCACTTGTTCAGTCTTTTCAGTTTCATCAACTCTCTGCTCAATGGAGCAGCAGCGATGAATCAAAGGTACTAAATGCAGGACTGTCAAAAAGTTTTAAGTAGCAGTCTGATAATGAATAGTAGGCGGCTTTGGAACTCGCACCAAAGGCACAGTTCTTGAGGGCCGAGGCATCTAGGGACATTTTGAAATTTAGAGTCTCGGAAATGGCGATTGCAGGGGTTTTCAAGAGGTATTTTCCACCGCGGACGTCATGTTGTTTCGTCAGAATACACGCAAGACTAGGGACGATGCCGTCGAAATGTCCCAGGCGTTCCACGACATCGCACGGCTCGAACGTTTCACAGATCTAAACCTGCTCAAAAACGCTTTAAATTTTATTCGAAACTGGGAAACGAATTCTTTGCAATTTTGTTCGACGGTGCTTAATTTTTGTTGGCAGTTATAAATGTGGCGGTAGAAGGAGATGAAAGTAGCCGGCTAAGGATGGCTGACTAGCCAGCGGTTTTGGCCGGCTACCGGCCCTTACTGACAACCCTGCGAGGTATTGCATTCAGCCCTCCACTTGTATACTTTGGACTTTGGACATTCATTCCTGGGGTCAATTTAATAAACCTGTAATTTCCTGTAATTTACAAGTGTAGCTATTGTTCTCGAACTCTAAAACAATGGCTACACTTGTAAATTACACTTGACAAAGTTTTCTTGAATTGACCCCTGGAAGAGGAGTCCAATACCGCATCCCGTGCCAAGATTTTGGCGAATCCCGCGTCCCGAATAGTGGTCAAATCTCGTATCCCGTCAACAATTTTTGCGTTTTCCCGAATCCCGCACTGTATTTCGGCAGGTCTGTCATTAAGAGGCAGGGGCCGGAGATTTCTCCCGCCTACTTTCATAGGAAAATAAAAGAAAAATAGAGCCAAAAGAAATCCTTAGGTGTTTGATTCCCTGCCTACTTGTTGTATTTACCTAGCAACTTGAAATATTTGTGACCTCCCTGAATTTTTGGCCAAATCCCGGATCCTGAAGATAGCCCTCTGCCACCCAACAAAACAGAAAATTCATGAGAAAATAACTCCCAACCGTTTTTCTTGTTTTCACTTGCTTTGACAGAATAACCTGTTGAGCCGAATAACGTTCAGCTGAATGAAGATGGACTGATAGGAAATCCCGCACAGGACCATGCGGCGTTAGCTTAGAACGTGAAGAACAAAAAGATTACCGTGACAATCCGAAGCGATACCGAACATTTCACCGATCTGTGATAAACTCAAGCAAAATAATTTTTTCTCGCGGTTTTTTTCGTCATTGTTTTATTACCTAGTAAATTCGCTTGTGATATGTATAGTTTCTTCGTTGAACTTTCGAGTCGGATGGTTCGCGAAGCGGGTCTTAAAACTGTGTTCAGTTAATACAACGTTAAGTCTCGTCAGGTTTGCTGTCTTCTGTTGTTACGGTCGCTGGATATACAATGGATTTCCTGAGGCAATGGCCATTCATGGGGCAGTCGGAAGGTTTTCTGTAGTTTCACAATTTTTGAGACTCGTTCATATTCATGCGTGAATGTAAAGTGGATTTGTTGTGACAGTCGATGAACGTGCCCCCAAAATTGTGCCACTGCAGAAAACCTTAGCTTATTTTCCGAGGTGCCCTCTAAGTTTTCCCTTGAACACGGGAATCGCCCGTACTCAAGCCAGTGTAGCCGGAAAAAAAAAAGAAATAAAACAGGGGGCTTGCCGTCTTGCTAGGTGTCGGCAGAGATCCAAGACGCAGACCTAACGGTGGGTGGCTGGCTGACTTGTTTTGTGCCAAACGTGGGGGGGGGGGGGGGGGGGGGGGGGATTTTGTCTTTTTTTTTGGGGTTTTAAGGAGAAAGGAGGAAAAAGAGAAAAAAAGTTTTCTGTGGGGAGATTTCACATGAACACAGCAAAGAACACAAAACAAACAAAAGAAAAAGAAAAAAAAAGAGAAGTAGGGCGGGGGGTTTGCGGTGTTGGTAGGGGGGAACAAGGTCCACTACGGCGGACGGAAGGGGGGGTGGGTGGCTCCTTTGTTGGGGGGGGGGGGGGGGGGGGGTGGGTGGGTATGGGCGATTTTGTCATTTTGATTAGAGTTTTAAGTCAGAAAGCAGTACAAAGTCAAGGAATTTTTCCTGTGGGCTAGCCCAGCCAAACATAATCATAACACTACTAGCAGAGCTTGGGGGAGTCATTGACTAGTCGTAAGTGTCATGGGTGGGGAAGGTGAGTACTTGCTCCTTGGACTTGGCTGTCTAGAGACCGAGTACAGCGCAGCAACTCACGAAAGTGAGAGTCGGCCGTGTTGCTTAATTTGCGAAAATTTGGCGATTACTCTTATGTTTCTTTCTTTTTAATAGGCCAAATCCGAGTAGCCTGAAGCCTCTGTTTCAAAGTGAAGCTTAGTGCGAAGCAATGATGTGAAAATGATTTTTGGTTCAAGCAAATAAAACTTATTTTTTGCAGTTAGCCTCGTTTTGAAAATGAAAGTTTCTGGAACTCGTAAATGGCCTATTTTTGGCGCGTGAACGGGATTTGCTTTGGCGATTGGCGATTGGCTAATGCGAACAATAGCCCCGAGAAAACCAGAAAAATCTGTCTTGGCCCTAAAAACGTAGTCTGCTACACAGCCGTTTTTAGAGTCGTCACGCAACGCTCCTCCCGGCTGTGTAGCAGACTACCAAAAATGGGGCCGTTTCTGTGGGACCGATACAGTCTAATTAACTAGAGCTGATTTAGACCCAAAAGCTGAATTGAATCCCAGCGTGGGCTGTAATAGGCTTTTGATGGGGCTGTTTTGGCTTAAATTGTGCTAAAGTGGCTCCAGGAAGGCTGAAGCAGGCTTTGATCTGCAGGGCTAAATTGGCACTTTGGAGCCGAAAGAGATCAATTTAATTTTCAGTGTACTTTGGGCCAGTCGACTTCCAGTATGTCAATTAGGGAGCCCAGGGTGGATTTGATTTTGTGCAGTGTAAGAGCCTAACTTGCTTGGCCACGCGTTTATCTGACTCGATCACTTCGGCGCAAATCGAATCGGCCAAATTTGGGTTAGCTGTATTTTGCAGCGCAATAGATGATTTTTTTCGGCAATAATGCTATCCCGCCATCTTAGACGTTGAAACTACCAGAGAGTTGGGGGGAGTTAAAAACTGATTTCAAGGGAGAGGCTGGTGGGTTTAAAATAGAGGAGGGAGAGAAGGAGAGTGTACCTCTGAGTTTCCGTTAGGAGTCGGAGTCGTAATCAGAAGCGTAGAGCTTATGATCTAGTGCAAACAGCGTTCCGATTCCGCTTATGACCAAGTAAAGACCAGATTGTCGGAGTCGGAAGCAGAAGAACTAAACCAATCACAAAGCGTGGGAACGTGCATTGTGATTGGTTTATCCTTCCGCTTCTGCTTCCGACTCCGACAATCTGGTTTTCACTAGATCATAAGCGGAACGTAAGCGGCGGAGTCGGAAGAAATGGAAACGTTCTTATTTTTCTGACTCCTATTCCGTCGTCCTTATGACTCCGCTTACGACTCGGATTTTTGATTTTCACTAGGTCATAAGCGCTCTTACGACTCCGACTTCGTCGTTAGTGAAAACCAGACTTAACTGCCTTAAGTGTGCTATAGATTTGTTTCGCTAACTGGGAAAGCTTCGTGGGATATCCATATCTGGAGCAGTCCTATTTCTTACCTAGCGTGTTTATTTACTGCTGAATTCGAAGTTCGAATTTCGTGGAAAAAATGATATTGGAAAAGGAGCAGTGACGGCTGAGATTTCATCTCTTGCGAC